ACACACACACACACACACACACACACACACACACAGACCCATCAGGATCCTTAACATTTAAGAAAGCGGAAAAAGAATCTGGGTCTGCACCAAAATGTCACCAGTTCTTTCCTGGACCAAGTTCTTCCACCAAGTTTCAAACTAATCCGTCCAGGACTTTTTGTGTTATCGTTCTAACTAACAGACAAACAGACAAACAGACAAACAGACAGGGACCAACACAACACCTTGATTGACGTAAATATAATTATTTTAAATCTTCAGTGCAGATTGAAATTAAAATATATAATCATTAAAGTCACAAATGTTTGTATGCAGATTAGACCTAGACTGAGTGTATACAAGTTTTATTTTAGGTGCCAAAAAATTCACTAAATGGAGTAAATTTAATTCAACAAAATACACACACGCCTGCGCGCGCACACACAGGGGAGGACCTCAGCTTCTGCTCCACTTTGTGTGAATAGATGGAAATCAGTCACAAGTATCTCTGTGTCCCATTGTATGCTGGGAAGTCTTTGTTCGAGCATCTGTTGCCCAAACATTTTCCTCAGTGTCACTCACTCTAAATTGGTCTGTTCAGACGAGTTGCAACAAAACCCACTCTTCTTCCCACACACACACACACACACACACTGAGGGGCGGGCTGAGATATTCCCCAAACGCAACTATATAGAAAGAGTTAATCTTTGTTCTTTTTGTGTGTCAGTGTGACACAGATGATCGTAAAGGCCCGGGAGCAGTTTAGAGTGATGCTCCTGGGAACCCTGCACCACAAAAACAAGTATTTCTCTTTTTTTGTGAAATTGCCTTTTTCTCCGTCAAGTCACCCACAAAGATTTCCTTTACTGCGTTTCTCACAAGACAACAAAAAAAGAATCTGAGCGGATCTGAGCTGTTCCTAGGATTTCACAGAAAACAAGGGATAAAGGTGAGAGTGAGACAGGAAATGATTCAACATGGACACTGAGACGTGAGGACGTTCTCACGATGTGGAGCCGAATAAAGATGCTTATCTGCAAACAAACATTCTACTTAAGTAAATATACAAACATACAAGTGAAAGTTAAAGTACCACATTAACTTTTCCAGCTGAGTACTATTCCCTCATACATCAGTCATGTCTGAATCCATTCTCCATCTTTCTTCACCATTGATGCTGATTGATGCACTTTGCTCTCATTAAAAGAAAAAGGGTCTAATGTAAAATATAACAAAACTTTTAAGTGGAGGGGGTCGTCACAGTTGAATATATCTTAATTCATAAAACATACATTTAACTTCCTGTGTGCTATAAAATACGATACCAGACTGTTGATCTTAAGTGTCAAAGACTTTTATTTTGAAATACAGATGGACAAATATATTAAGATAAAGAGCTAGGATATCAACATAACCCAGTGGAATGTAAACAATAGATGCACTTAAATTATGTAAAAACAAAAACCACAAAATCAAACAACACAATATAGGTTTCGCTTTGAAAAACAAAAATAAATAAGACTTTAAGTTAACAAAAGTTACAAAAACGACAACAGGAAGCGTCTCTGGGCTGCTCAGAGCAAGTGGAGCAAAAACAAACGGTAAACAACATTTCGCCTGATTTCATTTGAACTCGCTTGATTTCACCTGCCGCTCAGAGCTCGCTCGCTCGCGTGCAACGACGTCGACCTACAAACACATTGTCATCAAGGCAACTCTGATAGATTAAAAAGATCGACTTCAAACGAAACCTCCTCACCTGTGTGTCGACGTCACAAGAGAGGAGGAGGCGCACACTAAACACCACAACGCAGAACCGGGTCGATCATGTGAGATGTAACTTCTACCGAGGCCCTGAATGTGTGGAGACCCCGTTTAGCGTGTGTTCAGATAACAGCATCTATAAAAACAAGGTTATTACAGTCGTGTGTGAGGCTCGGAGGAGAGGAGAGTGGACTCTGTGTGTGCTCGCACCAGCAGCAGGAAATATTGCTCATGTGACTGATTGATAACGTTTCCCAGAGGTTACAGCAGCTGATATAATCGAGGGATCGAGCTGCTGGTGACGTGAGAACACAGCGAGTCTTGATTCCTGCCAGGCCTCGATTGACCCATAAGGCAACATACATGTCGAATGCCAAAATGTCTCCCTCCGCTCCTCCCCCCTCCTCGAGCCTTCTTAAAGCTACTGGATCGTGTAAACCAAGCGGACGGACGTCATGGATGCTTCAGTAAAGCACAATTTCTCAGGCATCATTTACATAAACACAATCACAAAGCAAACAGCAAATCTTTCGAAAAAAGCAATAAATAGGTCTAAAAAGTGTTGAGCAATAATAAGAATGATCAAAACACTGTGGCAGCTAAAGGCAAAGCTAAGTGTTAACAGTACTAAGAGGTTAGGGAGCTCTAACATCAACTTTGGTAACTAGAGTCAGTGGGTTTCCTACACTTGTGGTCCGAGCAGAGACCACAAACAGTAATTTAACTTCCTCACAGACAGTTTCAGACAGACGGAGAACTGTCGATGAGAAACCTGCGACAAACAATATTGCTTTTAAAAAAAGAGGACATCTCGCCAGTCATACATCAAACGGCACTAATCTTAACATCTTTCTTAAATCAGGGTACAGGAAGTTCTCACACAGAACTTCCCACTGAGCAGCAGAAGGTCGGACGCTGAGCTTAGTGAAGTACCCGCTGAGGATTCTCTAAAATGGGTATACAACAGTATACAGCAGTAACAATGGCATGAAAGGAACAAGCTTACAAAAATAACAATAAAGCACAAAACAAAAAGAGGAGTCGGCTAAAACTGGACGAACACTGAGCAGCGCTACAGCTGCTTGGATGAGAAATGCAATATGCACGAAGTTAGGTACGTTTACCGGGCTGCGTTTGGTGAGGAACTTAAAAAAAACAATTGTTTTAATCTTGTGTGTTTTAAAATGTTTAGTTTTGACATCGGAGTCGAAAACGCGACATGAGAGATAAAACAATCAGACCATCCATCCCTGATTAAACTCAGCCCTACAGTAAAACCCCCCCCCTACTCGTCTGAGACAGACAGGCGGCTGAAGATGGGCAGACGTCGGCCCTCGAAGCTCGGTGACTCTGTGCCGCTGGAGGACGAGCTGAGGGAGCAGGAGGAGGTGTAGCCTTCCTCGGAGAGGGAGTCTGCGGAGGAGCAGCGCTGAAGGCCGGAGAGGCCGTTCAGGGAGACTGGCAGCTGCTGGGGGAGGTGGTAGGGCAGGTTCGGGTTTTTGGAGGGGAAGTTTGCGTTGGGACACTTGGAGTTGATGGAGTCGTTCACAGCATAGAAGCGCAGAGCTGAGTCACCGCAGTCGCCTGCCAGGTCGGTGATGCCTGAGAAGGGGTAGGAGCAATGCTTCAGTGCTCCTGGCTCAGGGAAGAGAGGGGAGAGGAGCTCTGGGCTCCCTGTGGAGGACGGAGGAGGGGATACAGAGGAGGCTCTGGTGAAGAGGAGGGAGGAAGGCTGCAACTCCTCCACTGGTTGGAAAATCTGTGTGGAGGAGAAGCCTGCAAAGCTGAGACTGTGGCGCAGCAGGGGAGGCCTCGGCTTCTGCTTCTGTGGGGGGGCGGCGTCGTTGAGCTCATCTGCATTGTGGATGAAGTGGCAGCGGGCGCCGTACGGGCAGAAGCCGATTGTGTGGAAAGTGCGGCAGGGCTCCGTCTTGTACTTGGGGTGCCTGCTGAGGCCTCGCAGCTCGTCCATGCCGTGAGCAAACTGGCACTTGGCGCCGTACTTGCAGGTCCCGCTCTCCTCGTAGGTGCGGCAGAGTTCAGTCTTGTACCGGGTGGAGATGTGAGGTGAGGGGGCGGTCGGTCTGGCGACAGGGGAGGAGAGGGACGTGCTGCTGATGTTGAAGCCTGGTGGAGGCAGCAGCACTGTTGGCGATGTGATGTTGGACATTTTGTCCTCTCTAACTCCCAAGCTGCTGCCGTGGCCCTCGATCATGCTGACTGAGCGGTCCACTCTGAAGGGGATGTGGCTGAGTGTGGACCGGGGCAGCTGACCGTCCCTGCTCCACTGGTTGGAGGCCACACTCAGGCCCCAGCAGGCCGAGTCGTTCACCTCCGAGCTGCTGCTGCTGCTGCTGCTGCTGTTGAACTTGGAGTTGGGGAGGGTCACGGGGCAGAGGGAGTGGCGGCGCTGGAAGCCCAGGACTCTTTGACTGTGCTGCTGCCGTTGCTGCATTGAGCCGGCAGATGGGCCATCTGTCGCCTCCAGGCCGCGGAAATTCTGTCACACAAAAGAAGAGAAGATGTGAGCTCTTTGCATTCCTCGAGCGCTGGGGCGAGACCAGCCGGCCGGTTTGAAAAGAAAAGGAGGTTTTAAAGCTGCAGCTCAGGCAACTGAAAGAAGTCTGATGAAACGAACGCTTAGAATTGGACTTTGTTTTATCTTTGTTCACTAAATGTTGGATTACAAGGTTTTTGATGAAACTGATCGGATTAGATTGCAAAGTAACAGAAGCTTGAGCTCAACATTTTTTTTTAGCCGTGTTACAGATTCAAATCATTCTTTTGTACATAAAACATGAAGAAATATTGTTTTTTACTTCAGATTGATATTTTAAACACATAAAACATCAACGTGTGAAACATCAAGACTTGTTTTGCAATTTTAAGTCTAGTTTAGGAAATTAAAACAAACTTCCCACTCTTGAGTTAAAGTTTTTCATCTGAGGTAGATTCAAAGATTTTCAACTTGTTTTAACATAAAGCTAAAACTGCAAGAAATGGTCACATTGACAATCTGTAGTTTTTACTGAATTAATGGTTGCATCATAAATGAGGTCATATAAAAGAAAACAATTTATTTTTGGTCACGTTCATCAATTTTCTCAAGAGGAGACTTTTTAAAACTTTACTCTGGCATCGGGATGAGCTCACAGGATGTAGATATAAGTTGCATGTTGGTGCAGAGGTAGTAAGTGATCGTTTGGTTGCTCTCACCTTGCAGAACTCCTCATCCAGTTCCAGGAATGGGGTTAGAAAGTCGGAGGGCATGGTTGGCTCCACTGTCCCCGCAGAGCGCAGGAGCCCGACGTCTGATCCCAGAGGTTGGAAAAAGGTTTCTGTCTCCAGAAAGAAGGGAGGGAGCTGAGCAAAGTCTGCGTGGGGAGCAGAGGCAAGAGAGGAAGGGACTGGGGGAATGGTGCAGAAAAAAAAAAAGTTTGAGTGTGTCCCTCTGAAGTTTGTTTGAGATGATCAGGGTCAGAGAAGCTGCAGGTTTGTGGAGTTTGAAGGAGGAGAGGGGTGAGAAGTGAAGGAGTCAGGGAGCTGGAAGAGAGACGTGACTCCAGGAGGAAAGTTTCTGGACCATCTGCTGGAATCTGCTTAAATAGTTGGGGAAACCCTCCCATGCACACCCACCCCCCCGCCTGTGTTCCTCAGGGGGCAGGGCAGGGAGTGTGTGTTAATGTGTGTGTGTGTTTTGGGTGGGTGGGGGAGGGGTCCTGCATTGTAAGGGTGTGCTGGGGGGCAGGGTGGGCACAGAAAGAAGAGGAGGGAGCTGAATGAAGCTACTTTTCTACCTATTCATTACCGAATACTTAAAGATGCATTCTTCTTTTTTCAACTAGCCGTCCCCTCACTTTGTTCAGCATCGATACAGCTGACGAGACAATGACGAGTGTTGCAAACACCGAACACATCGGTGCAGTTCAAATCCTGTAAAAACTGATTTAAAGTATATTTTAAAAACACGCAGAAACTTATTTTGTTCAATCTTAAGTTTAATCTTCCGAATGTATCCAGGTGTGCAGCCATGAATATTATTTCACTTTCTTCAGGAGATTCACGTTTTTGAATATTTTTATTTATATTTATATCTTTGAAACCATCAGACGTCTGTGCACTTTGCTGCAGCTACAAATCCAGATCCACATTTCATTGCAGAGGTTTGCACTTTATTGAGGCTTTTAAATGTTCTTTATGAATAAAAATATAACTGGACAAGAAGTGAAATGTCTTGAACTTCTGATCCGAGTCTCACCACAAAGTTTCTCCAATATCAGTGTTCATAAAGTATTTAAACAGAATCAGGATTTAATATGAACTGAGCAAGTAAAACTATTCCGATCAAATACAACGAAGGTTTTCTGTTTTTACACCAGTTGTGAACAAGTTTGTGATTCACAGAATTTATCCTGAGCTCATCTGCAAAATGAGAATAAATCATCGTCTCATTTTCTCTGCACCAATAATCATCTCTGTGACGTTTTCCCTCATTAATGAAAAGAAAATATCTTCTATTTGCTGCTGCTTCTGTTGAGTCACATCTTTTTCACATCACACAGTTCAGTTGGCCAATCCACGATGACACAATCCCAGTCTGTGACCATTACACACACATTATCACGATGCATTGTGGGAAACAGTGAGCCCACTATATAGAACAACAAACATATGGACTAAATGGTGAAATCCCAGTGGACTGTATGGTGAGGGACACATTACTGTAGTAATAATATTCAGGAGAAATACTGTCGTCTCACCTGTGACTTCCTGTCTCGTCATAAATTGTGAACGAAGTGAAACCATTTCTGTGAGAAACTTAGATTTGATGGTCGTGCATCTTTTTCTCTCTGTTCACATTATGGTTCAATCCCCAACACTGACGGAGGGCTCTTCCTGTCTTCCACGTGTCAGTTGTCTGCTCTGGTTTCCAAAGTCACGTCCATCGGAAACACCAAACTGCCCACAGGTGTAAACGGAGAGTGAATGTGTCAGACTGACGACCTGTCCCGAGCGCACCCCGCCCTGTTTTGTGAGCGCAGCTTCAGTCGATCTATTCAAGCTCTTGAACATAGATCTGAGCCTCGGGGGCAAAGATGATGTCACTGGTTGAAATCAAGACAAACTAAACGAGACAAAGAGCTTCTGTTGTTCTGAAGCTCAGGACAAAAAAAGTCCTCTGCTGCAGTCAGATGTATGTGAAGGACAGTTTTTATATTTCAAGCTTCTGAACGTATGAAAACATCACGTCTGTCTGAGATTATATTTAATATTCACGGCCCCACAGAGTCCAGACATGTGGGTCAGTGGTCTCCTGCCTCCGCCTGAGCACTGGTGTCCTCATCGTCACGGTTTTTCACTTCACGGCTCGCTGTTGTGTTGAAATGCAAATGTGGGTCAGGAGCGATGATTCAATGCTTGACGGATGGAAAAGTGTGAAGTGTTGACCATCGTCTTCAAAACAAAGAGGACGATTGACTTGAGGAGTCACAGTGAGAGATTTCTAAAACGGTTCCATGAAGAAACCAAACAAACTGACATGTTGCTGCACCACAGTGTGATTTCAGGTTACGTGCCTGCGATCACATCACAGCTCTGACGTGTACAGATGTGGATCTCACCCTGCAACCACCTCCACTGACGGCATGAAGCAGGAACACCACTGTCCCGCCCGCATTCTGTGATGGGAACATTCCTGCCTTCAGAAGGTCGTTAAAGAGGAGGACAACACAACAGTCCACCTGACGACCTGTCAGAGGCCTGAGCAGTTTGCAGGATGTATAACTCATTAGGTTGATAAAGGATGACCAAGGGAGCATAAACGCTGAGGACAAGCTCATCCTCAGTGTCTGCCATCTTGAGTGCTCACTGTCAAACACCCGTTCAGTGACGGTGAAGAACGTGTACAACAAATAAACATGTGAAGTTCCGTCCCTCGTTAAAACGTGTTCTGTCTTCAGGAGAGTCTGAGGCTTGTTTATTAGAACCAGGCTGAAGTGACTGAAACTCACTGGTGTGGTTTGAAGCTGTTGTTGTGTATTGTGCCTCTGGACACTTGTTGGTCGAGTTAAATACAACGTGTTGGTCCAAACGTTTAGACAACAGGACATGTGAACAGGACAGAATGAGACTCAGCTGGTAAAACTGAATCCACCCCATGAAGGGACAGAATAAAAAGTGTTGGTCAAACCAATGTTTTACGTTTTAATACCTGGTCGACTGTGGAACGACGTGAGACACCAACTAACGGCAGAGTCAGTGTCTGTGATGCTGCTGAGCAGATGTTGACTGAGACGAACAGTTTTATTGTCGGAAAAACAGAAAGAAGAAGAGATTGTTTCCAGCTGCGTTTGGCGTTCACGAGCAGACGATGATGTTTCTGGACCGGAGCTGAAAACTCCACAGTGTGAACTCACGTGTGTTCACTCACAAATGGGGCAAATATTTAATTGAGCTTGTTTGAGGGAAGACGAACGCAAACAGTTTGTGGTCTGTGGTGAGTGACAGTTCACTGTAAACAAACTGTACAACAGAAAACACGTCTTATCACATCGTCTCAATAATACGTTACTGTGTGTGTGTGTGTGTGTTCAGGGTTAAATAACTGTAATCCAGTGTGGTTTCCTCCCTGTGGTCGGTTGATTTGGTAACAGACTGACTTCCGTTACGTCTCTCTCTCTTTCTTTCTTCATGAACAACAGAACAGTCTAATCTCTACGTTCTACATTATTTTTAAATGATCAATAAGATCTTCAGTTATCGCTTCTCTCTCTCTCTGGTGTTGTGGTCGAACCTTCTGAGTGACACAACAACTGAATCTGTTCTTACACAACCAGCATAACTGTCTGTCTGTGTGTGTGTGTGTGTGTGTGTGTGTCTGTGTGTGTGTGTCTGTGTGTGTGTTTGCTTGTGTATTGCTGTGGTTGCCCAGCTCAGTGTGTCAAGTGTTCATTATGGTGGTTAAAGCAATAACAGATAAAAAGATAGAGAGCACATGGAGCCCAGTGACTAAAGCAGTGAATCATTTTCATGTTTTCATCCGTCAAGATTCACTTTTCACACAAAACAACTTCACAGTAGATCCAATGACTTTGCATCCAGCTCACAGTTATGCTCTGGTTTCCTAAGTATAAAAGTAAATACAAATGAAAGTTACAAAAGGGAAAATAATTAATCAATAATACAAGAGTTATTTTGCTGGTTTGTCAACAACATTTTCACCATTTCCGCAGAGAATTAGTCTTTAAACTTGATGAAAACAACAGAGAACTGACGTATGTGAGTGTTTATATTATACATATTATTATTTGATGCAGATAGTTTGAACTGAGCAGGACTGCTGGTTGTTGGCGGAGGTCTGAGCTCTACAGACATTCTAAGTTTATTTGTATTTCACATCTCGACATCGAGGCAATTCCAAGTGCTTTACTTCAAATATAAAAAGCATCATGAGAAAAGTGTAAAGCAACATAAGACAATGCAAAACAGAAGTTTTTAAAATGTTAAATACAAGATAAAAAATAAGAAATACAAGTATTTCATTTATTTTATAATAAATACGAGCAGAGAAAAATGAACAGTCCTCGTGCAACATTGTGTTAAAAAAGAGTCAATAGCATTTTATGTAAACTATCGGAGCTCTGATATCAGATCCCTCATCGTGAAGAGGTTTGATCACATGTGGACAAACTGGCCGGGCTCTGGTGTCAGTTAGCAGTGGTTGGGGTGGAGACGAGGGTGGAGCTCTCAGAGTCTGAAGCTTCGCAGCAGCAGAGGAAAACAAGTGTCTGTCAGTGAAGCTGCCTCCGAACATGTGACGGTTTACACGTTAAAAAAAAACACGGCACGTGGACGAACTGAGAACTCGGAGCGTGTGGTTTGGACAGAGATCTGTTAGTGGAGGACGAATCATCATCTCAGGGACAGTGAAGAATGAGATATAAAATAAACAACGAGACACTTTTCATTTCTTTAATTTTACTTCTTCCTCTGAACAGACTCTCGCAGGTGTGAACAGGAAACATTCGTGTTGTTAGTTGAGGAATTCTCGCAGATTTCTTGAATAACATCTGATCCGCTCCACACGTCAACAGTCTGGAAGAGCAGCCCGACGTGAAAAGACCCGATCAGAAAACAGAAGTGAGCGTCTACCACATTGTTTCTGCTCGTCCAGACGACAGAGCAGCTCCGCAGTTTTCAAACTAAAAGCTCTAAAACCCCCGAGTCGTGTGGCAACGGTCTCTGTAGCAGAGTTGATCTATTTGAAAAAGAAAACGTAGAAATGTGGATGAAGCCTAAATCTCTAAACCACCACATAGACAACACACACACACACACACACACACACACACAGCATGGTTGTCGACCTCCTGTCTGAGCCTGTCTTGGCCTCTTTGTTGAGGCCAGCATGACAAGAGCTCTATTGTCCAGAGGCTTCTCCATATGCCTCCATACACACCACAGCGAAGCATTATGGGACAATACCAGCACACAGGGTCTGACCCAACCGTCCTCCGTGGCTTAATCAGGGACAGGAACTCCTCCTGACGCTCACATGGCTGCGCTGCACTGA